CCGAGACCGTCGCTCCCGCCGTGGCCGCCTCGGCGGCGGTCGCCCGGGTTGCGGTGCGGGGCGCCCCTCGGCACGTTCGCCTCCGCCCCGCGCCCCCACCCGGCTCTTCTGCGTGGACTCGCGGGCGGGACCGTGCCCGTGGTTTTGTCTGCGGCCCCCGGGCGGTGTTGGGGCGGGAGGCTTCACCTGAGGGAGCGGTAATGGCGACTTGGGGGCCCATTTTCTCCGAGGGCCTTTGTGTAGCGGGGGAAACTGAGGCACGGGGCTCTCTGGCTTGTGCCTGAGGTGTGGACACAGCAGTCCCCAGACCCGCCCTACGGGCTCCTGTGATAACTATTAAAATCAATTAAGGAATCTGAACTAGCCCTACGTTACATACCCTACCCCCTTTATTTTTCCCCATAGAGGGCCATGAGTTTGTCTTGCCACATGAAAGATGACCTTTCGATCAAAGAACGTCATCTGTTCCTGTTCCCCTTACTTGGCTCACCCTGTTTTCAGCTCATTTTCGTGCGGGGGTAACCCAGGTCCCCACCCCCTTCCACCCCGGGAGTGACTGGAAGAGCCCTTTCCTGTCCGTGGTTATCACTGACCCCTCCGTGGGGCGCGCCCCGAGCGAAAAGGTACTTGGGTTGCCCAAGTCAGCATTGCTTTTCCCTGAAACTTCTCTTACATTAACGGAGAATGCTTCTAATGTAACAGCAATAAAATGATTTAAAAACGATATTGTTGATAATCGGGCCAAAAATTGCATCCTTTGTAAATGATACTGGGCAAGGTAGGTGTGTGGGCCATTGGAAAGATTCTCCCTGGCTCTGGTTTGATGCTTTAAATGACTGCATTTCTGCCAAAAGCTTTGCACCGACTGCGAGTGTTTTCTTACCTATGGCGGGTCCAGGGGTCTGGTTTGCTGGGACCTGTTTGCCCAGGATGGCTTTAAGGCCGGAGCCATAGAGTCAATACGCGAGTGTTCTCCAGCCACCTTCGTTCCTTTCCCGGAAGAACTGTTGTGTGGACATCCTGAGGGCGGAAGAACACTTGTTTTTAAAATTTGAAACTTGTAGCCTGTCGTTTGTTTCTGGATGTGCAGAGCACGATGGCGGCGTCCGAGGTCGCCGGTGTGGCCAGTGCCCCCAACCCCCCGGAGTCCTCTGGTCTGTGCGCTTCCAAATCAGAAGAAGGCCTGCTAGATGGTCTAAGGTAATGCATGGGTTCTTGGCGGGGAGACTTGGGGTGAAGGGCCTCGTGGCAGGGTAGCTGGTCTTTCTTCTTTTTGGTTCTAGTAGCCCTGCACTAGATTGAGCTTTCTAAAGGTAAGGACTAGCCCTAACTGGTTTGGCTCAGTGGATGGAGCGTCGGCCTGCGGACTGAAGGGTCCCAGGTTCGATTCCGGTCAAGGGCATGTACCTTGGTTGCGGCACATCCCCAGTGGGAGGTGTGCAGGAGGCAGCTGATCAATGTTTCTCTCTCATTGATGTTTCTGACTCTCTATCCCTCTCCCTTCCTCTCTGTAAAAAATCAATAAAATATATTTTAAAAAATAGATAAAGGTAAGGACTAGCTGATCTATGTTTGTATTTCCAACAGTGTCTGACCACACGCTAAATATTTGTTGACAGAATACAGGTGGTCAGACTCATCCAAAAGTGAGAATTATTTCCTCATTCTATCCTACATGAATTATATGTTCATTTAAGTACGTGTTTATATATTATACATATGTATATTCACATATACATCTTCTATGTAACACATATACTCATAGGTACATGTGTCCATACAGTTATATGTGTGTGTGTTTGTATATCTGTGTCGGTAGATAGCTTTGGTAATATGGCTTACTGCTTTATGTATATATTTTGCCTTCCGTCTGAACTCTTGAGGGAAGGGATTATGATTACCCAACCTTCTATCTTACATGCTTGGCACAGTGTATGTACAGGGTTGTACTAAATTGACTATATAGTCTACGTCAGCTCTTTTCTACAGTACCTAGGACTTAATACAATATATAGTACTGTACTAACAGCTTTATATATATTAACACATTTAATCCTCCCAACAATACCAGGAGGTAGGTGCTAATATTATTATTCCCATTTACAGGTGAGGAAACTGAGACACAGAGAGGTTAGTAACTTGCCCAAGGTTACCGAACTATGTTGGAGTCAGTGTTTGAACCCAGGCTTGTCTGGTTCCAGTAAATGTTTGTTTAAATGAACAGAAGTTTGCTAGTGAATGGCTAATGGGGCAGATGTTAAGTAAGCCTAACCATAAACTTTGATCTTCATTTTATAAATAAAATCAGCCACATACTATTAGTAATGATATTACCAGTTAAGGTGTATTGGGTGTTTACTATGTGCCAGGCACTGTACTAAACACTTCAGAAACATTGTCTCATGTAATCCTCACAATAATTGTAATAGGTAGGTAATATTATTTCTGTTTTTAAAATGAAGTTAAGTAATTTGCGCAGAGTCAAACAACTGATAAATAAGAGAGTCAGGATTCCATCCAGACACTACACATGCCCAAATTTGTAATTAGGTGCCTCCTTGCCCTTCAGTTAACTCCCAGTAAGGAATCAGCTTGGAGTATTTATAAAGATTTTCATAATGCAAGATGCTCTCTGTTGTTTTATTTTGAACAGCAAGTACTATTAAGGAAAGCAAGGATAGTGACCTGATGCCTCATTCTAGTGTGCGGTGCTTAAGGGCATCAGTTGACAAAACCAGTTTTAAAAAAAGGAAAAGAAATTTAACACAGATTTAGTCATTATTCCTGGATGAAAAATTTATAGTTGTGAATGTTGGATATCATTGTAAATAGGTTTTAAAGATCTCTTTAAAAACCAATATGTTGCCCTGGTTGGTGTTGCTCAGTGCTTAGAGTGTTGGCCGGCATGTGCACCAAAGGGTGGCAGGTTTGGTATCTAGTCAAGGGCACATACTTGGGTTGCAGGTTTGATCCCTGGCCCTGGTCAGGGTGTATGCAGGAGGCAACCAATCTCTCTCCCTCCCTCTCTTTCTCCTCTTCCTTCTCCTTCCCTCCCCACCTTTTCTTCCCTTCCTCTCTTTCTGAAAGTCAATGGAAAGAATATTCTTGGGTGAGGATTAATAAACAACAACAACAAAAACACACTATGTTAAGTGTCTGTGATACACAGTAAGACAACTATCCCAGTGTTGTACATGTATGTACTTGTCTGGGATAACATTTCTACTGACAGCTTCAGTTTTGGATTCAAAAGTGTTTGTATTTCACACAGCTTGAAGTGAAGATTCTATGCTCTGGAAAACTTGAAGAACCTAAAAAGTGGTTCTGCTCAGAGATCTGTATAATGAGTTTGAGTGAAAATTTTTTGTGTGAAACATGAGAGTGGAATAAAAACTATTTCTAAATTGATGTTTTATTAAAATATATGTAACTAAATTAATGCATGTAACTAAATGAAATATTCTAACTAGCATTAGGCTATTTCCTCTGTATCCCTAAAAGTTATTCAACTTCACCCTCAAAGATTTTTAGTCACTTATGTGTCATCATTTACTGGAGACTGTCTCTAGAACCTAGGTTCTTTTTTAAAAAAAATATTTTTTATTGACTTGAGAGAGAGAGGAAGGGAGAGTGTGAGAAACATCCATGTGAGAGAAAAGCATTGATGGACTGCTTCCTGCATGCACCCTACCGGGGATCAAGCCCAAAACCTGGGCATGTGCCCTGACTGGGAATTGAACCAGCAACCTTTTCGTTGCACTGGACATCGCTCAACCAACTGAGCCACACCAGCTGGGGCCAGAACCCAGGTTCTTAACCACCAAGCTGTATTCCCTGCATGTGGGAGAAAATCACTGGATAGAAAGGAAGTTCCTTTTCATTTTGATAATTTGAGGGGTTGTATAGTCCAGTTTTGTTCTTTTAGTGGTTGTGTTAGAAGTATTGCATATTTAACCCTCTTTAAGACTGGGTGAAGAGAGAACCTTTTTGTCTTATGTTTTGGTAGCCCCAAAGACCCTGCACAGAAGCACAAGAACTCACCTCTGTCGAGTGTAAGTAGCCAAACGATAACCAAGGAGAATAACAGAAATGTCCATTTGGAACAACCAGAGCAGAATCCTGGTTCGTCAGCAGGTGACACCTCAGCAGCGCACCAGGCGGTTTTAGGAGAAAACTTGATAGCCACAGCCTTTGGTCTTTCTGGCGGTGGGTCTCAGTCTGATTTGAAGGACGTGGCCAGCACAGCAGGAGAGGAGGGGGATCCGTGCCTCCGGGAGAGCCTCCATCCTGTCACTCGGTCTCTTAAGGCAGGGGGCCATGCAAAGCAACTTGCCTCCGGGAATTGTCCTGAAGAGAAGTCCCCACAAGCCTCCATCCTAAAGGAAGGGAGCAGGGACACAGGCTTGGATTTCCGACCTGTAGTACCTCCAGCAAATGGGGTTGAAGGAGTCAGAGTGGATCAGGATGATGATCAGGATAGCTCTTCCCTGAAGCTTTCTCAGAACATTGCTGTACAGGTCAAGTATCAAGTTTCTACTATTACAATCGAATTTGGGCTTTTTTTTTTTTTTTTTTTTTGAGGGAAGAGACATTTCTTCATGGCTGGTGGAGACTACTCTTTATCATTTTTTTACTGGCAGCTGTCATACTATTTCCATTTGGTGCTATGTAATGGCTTCATCCTGGTGTTCAAGAAATAGTAAAGCCAGGAGCCAGTGCCTAATTGTGTTGACTAGGAACCTGACAGTCTCCATATAATGTCTCTCACTGAGTAATGAAGAGTGTAGCCTCTGCACCTGGGTGTTCTGGGGGATAAGTGCTTCCTGCAGGGTGCATGTCAGCGTCCATTTGCCAGAGCTGCGGTGCTGCTCTTGCTGTGCAGCCAACACGTTAGCCTCTTCGTTGCACAGATTTTAGGTGAAAGTACGAGACCAATTCTCCCTCTTCAAATGCCACTGACCAGTTCTGAATATGCTGTTTCTGTCTTTATAGACTGACTTTAAGACGGCTGATTCCGAAGTAAACACAGATCAAGATATTGAAAAAAATCTGGTAAGTTTTTGAACTGTCATTTTTTTTTTTAATATATTTTATTGATTTTTTACAGAGAGGAAGGGAGAGAGATAGAGAGCTAGAAACATCGATCAGCCGTCTCCTGCACACTCCCCACTGGGGATGTGCCTGCAACCAAGGTACATGCCCCTGACCGGAATCGAACCTGGGACCCCTCAGTCTGCAGGCCGACGCTCCATCCACTGAGCCAAACCGGCTACGGCTGAACTGTCATTTTTGATATATGAAAGCATTAATGCAGAAAATCCAGAGTCATGTGATCTCAGTCAGAAAAGATGCAGGAGCCTCCTTTATAAAATTCCCAACATTAGTTAGCTAACTTCTACTTGATCACTTCCAGAGATGGGAAGCTTACTGCTCACAAAGCAGACTGTTGCATTTTTATTTTCATTATTTTATTTTATTTATTGATTTTTTAAAATATATTTTTATTGATTTCAGAGAGGAAGGGAGTGGGAGAGAGAGATAGAAACATCAGTGATGAGAGAAAATCATTGATCGGCTGCCTCCTGCACACCCCCCACTGGGGATTGAGCCCGCAACCCAGGCATGTGCCCTTGACTGGAATCGAACCTGGGACCCTTCAGTCCGCAGGCCAATGCTCTACCCACTGAGCCAAAATGGCTAGGGCATGTTGCATTTTTAAAATAGCTCTTTCTGGGGTGAGGACAGAACCTCTAAAACTTGTTATAATTTTTCCTGGAGTTATGAAGAATAAATCTAAATCCTCTTTTGCTTGTTAGCCCTATGTATTTTTTTTCGAGGGGGAAGTGCGTTCACTCGGTGTATGTACAGGAAGATTCTATTGTGGACCCACAGAACCAGACCATGACCACCTTCCCCTGAACATCAACCACACCCGGCTGGTGGTGGTGGAGGAACAATGTGATTCCCGTGTGAACTGATTACAGAAGCTGGACTGACATCCACTGGGAAGGCTGGGTCTCCTCTAGCTCACTTGGCATTTCCAGAGCTGTCCAGGAATTTGGTCTCTTCTGGTTCAAAAGCAATGTGACCAAGACGATGAAGGATTCTGAATACATCTTGGCCAAGCTGCAAGGTGAGGCTCCTTCCAAAAGCTTTGCTGAGACAGCCAAGGAAGTCAAGGAGGATTGAATTCAACAAGTATTTGCTAGATATTGTTCCAGGTACTAGGGACACAGCAGAGAACAAAACAAAGGTCCCTGCCCTTGTGGAGCTTACAGTCCAGTTTTTATGACCACTTTGCCTGCACGCTGTGACCCTGGGCAAGCCATGGCACCTCTCTGCTCCTCTGTCCCTCAGCTACCTGATGCTGAAGGAAGTGGGCCCAACCCAGCTGCTGTGGCTCTGGGTGAGCATCGACCTTGGACCAAGAGGCCGAGGTTCGATTCCTGGTGAGAACACATGCCTGGGTTGCAGGTTCGATCCCCAGTAGGGAGCCTACAGTAGGCAGCCAATCAATGATTCTCTCCCACAATTGATGTTTCTATCTCTCCCTCTCCCTCCCTTTCTGAAATAAACAAAAATATATTTTTTAAAAAAAGTGGGCCCAGCCTAGACATGAGTAACATGTGTGATGCACTAATGATGCCAAACAGACACCACGCCCAACCCACCACCCAAAAAGTAGATGGGGCTGGAAGTTTCTTTTAATAATAAAGTAGAGGGAGGAGGACAGAGGGAGTGCAGCCAAGTGGTCTGGTGTGCTGCCGCACTGGGGCCAGCTGTCTACACAAGCTGTTGCTGCTGCTGCGTCTTCATGGCTGCCTTGCCGGCGAGGTCTTGGGCCTTCTTTGTGTTGCCAGTGCCGTTCTCTGCCTCCTCCTTGACTTCCTTGGCTGTCTCAGCAAAGCTTTTGGAAGGAGCCTCACCTTGCAGCTTGGCCAAGATGTATTCAGAATCCTTCATCGTCTTGGTCACATTGCTTTTGAACCAGAAGAGACCAAATTCCTGGACAGCTCTGGAAATGCCAAGTGAGCTAGAGGAGACCCAGCCTTCCCAGTGGATGTCAGTCCAGCTTCTGTAATCAGTTCACACGGGAATCACATTGTTCCTCCACCACCACCAGCCGGGTGTGGTTGATGTTCAGGGGAAGGTGGTCATGGTCTGGTTCTGTGGATCCACAATAGAATCTTCCAGGGCATACACTGAGTGAGCAGTATTGGCAGGAAATAGTCGCTTGGCCCAGTAGGAGTCTCTGGGGGCAAGGGTCACCTCCCTGTGCACTGTGTCTTCCGCAGGACATGGTTGCTGTAGGGATTCAGATACCACTGCCAGAAGGCCGAGAACACTTGGTCCAAGGAACTCCGGGGCATGCTGTGGCCCAGGAAATACTCTGCCATCGTCCCCAGTCGGGGCAGGCTCAGCATCAGGGTGCAGGGGCTGGGGGAGGGGAGGTGCGGGGAAGCCATGCCAGAGGCGGCACAAACCACCTGGCTTGAAGCTCAGTCACCACCCCTCAGTGCCCCACCGGCTGCTGCCACCATGAGAAGTTGTCCAATTGCCTTACATATTTTTGAAGGTTTTTTACCCTGCTTCTTCCTCTTAGCTCTCAGATCTGAAGTTTTCCAGGTGAAACATTCTCCAGATGTTTTTAACATTCTTTATATAATGTTTTCAGTCCTTTCATCACCCTGGTTACCTTTCACCTAGACATGTTCCATCTAATCAGGGTTTCTTTTGAAATGTGATCCTGAGAACAAATGTAATAATCCAGACAGACTATAATGAGTTCACAATACAATGGGCCTCTCATTCTCTAACTCTCATTCTAAACACTATTTCTTAAGCTGTTGGTTTATTTTGACAGTCTCGTCACACTGTTGAGCTTTCAGTCAAATGCCATCAAGTCTCATCCTATCTAATAAAAGAGTAATATGCTGACCATCACTCCAACACACAAGATGGCCACCCACATGTGGTCAAAGATGACCACCACAAGATGGCTGGCAGGGGAGGGCAGTTAGGGGCAACGAGGTTGGCAGGGAGGGCAGTTGGGGACGATCAGTCCAGCAGAGGAGGACAGTTGGGGACCCAGGCCGGCAGGGGAGGGAAGTTAGGGGTGACCAGGCCTGCAGGGGAGGGCAGTTGGAGGCGACCAGGCTGGCAGGGGAGAGCAGTTAGGTGTCGATCAGGCTGGCAGGGGAGTGGTTAGGGGGCAATCAGGCAGGCAGGCAGGAGAGCGGTTCGGAGCCAGCAGTCCTGGATTGTGAGAGGGATGTCCCAGATTGGAGAGGGTGCAGGCTGGGCTGAGGGACACACATGCGCCCCCCCCCGCGCCCCCCCCCCCCCCCGCACGAATTTCGTGCACCAGGCCTCTAGTGTATTATATAGTTGTATCTGCCTATTTTATTCCTAGGCAATTAGTTTTTGGAACTTAGAGAACTTCACATTTATCTTTGCTAAAATGGTCCTCTTGATTTTGTGGCAAAAACTTCCACCCCTTTAGTGAATGCATAGCTAATATATATTTTTCAAGAGGAAGGATAATGCTAGGAAAGCCCCCTAGGGTCAGGTAGAGGTCTTTAGGGGAAGATGTGTTAATTGAGTGGAGAAAGGAAAAGTGCTTGTATTACCCAGATGAAAGTGAATATGTAGAGCATGTTGAAGGACTTGAGCAAATGGAAATAAATAAGTTATTGGAACATGTTAATCAGATGATGCCAATGAAAACTTTTAAATAGAGAGTAACAACTCAGGAATTATTAATAACGGGCAGGTAAAAAGATCCCAGAGACTAGAGGCCTCATGGAAATGTGCGGGGTAGAAGAGAACCTCCAGAGAAAGGGGGAGAAGTCATCTTTTATTGAGCACTTATGCTAATCAGTTTATTTACACAGAGTATTTATTTTGTCCCCATAGTTTAATGTGGGGTTTGGATGACTGTATAGCAATTGAATGGGCCAACTAAAGTTATAAATACACTTTAGTATTAGTCTGAAACGGGTGGAAACTGTCAGGCAATTGGGCCAAAAGAGGCCCAGGATTGTTTTGTTCGGTTGTATTTTTCTTTAAAAAAGGCACTGGGCCCTAGCTGGTTTGGCTCAGTGGATAGAGCATTGGCCTGTGGACTGAAGGGTCCCAGGTTCAATTCCAGTCAAGGGCACATGCCTGGGTTGCGGGCTTGACCCCCCCAGTAGGGGGCGTGCAGGAGGCAACCGATCAGTGATTCTCTCTCATCACTGATGTTTCTATCTCTCCCTCCCTCTCCCTTCCCTCTGAAATTAATAAAAATACATATTTTTTTAAAAGGCAGTGGAACTAGGCAGGTGTTAAGCTTAGCGGCAATACAAGAAACTGGGCTCCAGTTTTATTTGCTATTTTCATGCGTTTATGGTAATTGCCCACTACCTTATACCGCTGAGTTTTAAATTGATCCTCTTTAAGTTTTAGTGCCCTTTTGAAAGGTAACCACAACTTTTCTTTTTTTTTTTTAATTTTATTGTCAATGTGTATGCTTTGGTGGATGGAAATGGGTATGAAGACTTTATATGTGTGGTCAGAATGTTATCTCCTCTAGCAGAAGAGATTAAGACTTGGATCCAATATCAGACCAATTATAGGCTTGAGTAAATCATAGTCACTAGGAAGAAAGAGTCCAAATAGTAAACCTAAGACAGTTGGTTGTAAAAAACAGGTGCAACATTGGTTGACACAACTTTTCTTGATTTACTGATTTGAGGGAGGCAGAGCTGAACTGTGTTCCTTGCTTCTGCTCCCTACTTTATATGAGAGCTTGCTGATTGGCTCAGTCTGAATCCCAAGTTCCCTAGACCTCTTTGTGGGTCTGTAAGTTTTCAGAGCTAATGATGTAAGAAACCCTGTTTCTGGATCCATTTTGGTAGGTGACATGTTCTTTGTTTTTGCCCATTCTTTCTCTTAAAGCAGGGGTCCTCAAACTTTTTAAACAGGGGGCCAGTCTGTCCCTCAGACCGTTGGAGGGCCGGACTATAGTTTAAAAAAAACTATGAACAAATTCCTATGCACACTGCACATAC